TTTTAAACTATCAACCAGCTGTGCTACTGTGAAAATAGAGTTAAGCAAACTGTATAGAAAAGAGGATTTTCTAGGTAGAAAAATGGAATATGAATTGCACTTGAGATTACAATAGAAGCTTTTACAAGAATAGTGGGTCCTCAGGGCTAACTAATGGAATCTTAATATGGCATTGATGAGCCTTTCCTACTAGGTGATATGACAGCTGGTAAAAATGGAAGATTTGAAAGTGATGAAAAACTTATTTACTAAATAATGCTGCAGCATGGCTGGACACACATTTCCCTATATATTCAAGGTCTCTTTCGAGCTGGTTATTAACCATTCAACATTACCTTCTCTCTCTTTCTGGAAACAGTGTTTTTAAATCTAATTTAACTCATCACAAAGTTATCCATCCATGCACTCATGTGTTATAATTTCCATAATTACTGCTCTTTCTTAGAAACTATTTATTCCCCCACATTGGTAATGGCAAACACTTTTGCAATAGTGCAAAATTAACACCGTAGAGACAAAGTGTTGAGATAATCATCTCACCAGCACACTGATGTCTTCTCCAATGAACACAGGGTGCCCCTCTCACTCCCAACTGAGTATCTTCCTATGCTGCAACCCCCAAATTTCATTCATTGAAAGAAACAAATCCTGGAACATGACCCCACATATGAAGGGATCTGCTCCTTCTAGTAGAATAAATAGTAGAACCGGACTGGGGCATTTGAGTTGATGGAACAGTAACATATCGTTTTATCAGAGGTAATTTACTGATCTGTACAATCTATTGAGTGATGACATCCTATGATAAGGAATTGTTTCTCATCTGAAAATCCTTGCTATTTTTATTTCTCAGATCTCATCATTGCAAGCAGAAGACACAAGACGCAAACCAACAAACCCATCCATTATGCATTACCATTTTCTCTTGCTTGCCTTGTTTCCCAAAGTATTTTCATTGGAAGATGCCCAGCAGCATGCATTTAGATTAGTTTATTAACAAGATCGTTAATCAAGTATTGTTTCAAGGCACTTCGTTGATCAGCAATTCTTTTGTTTTAAATTAACAAGACTCTTAAGAAGATGTTGGTCTGAATTTCAAACTTCTGATGCATTCCGTTAGCCAAATCAGTTCATTAAGCAGCAAAGATTATTCCATGCTTCATCAAGATTTTGCAGTTCTATGAGTATTACCAGAATAAGGCGGATGATGTCTTCCCACTCTTTTCACAGTTTGCTATAAATTTTATATTAATTTTAAAGTATAAATAAGCAAATAAATTGCACCATGTGAAATATTGCACATAAGGAATGATGGGCTCAATTTGGTAGTCTCTAAGCATTAAGAGATCTCATTGACTTTACCGGGCTTCGCTAGATAAACAAAACAACATCAAATTAATTAAGCTATGTTACTGAGATGCCAGTTCTTAAAGAAACTTCTGGAAGAGAGGATAATGTAAAGTAACAGAAATGTGAAGTTGAAAGAAAGTTCAGTGTAAGCTGTGTTTGTACAGCCCATTTATAACTTTATAAGCATATTCATTTCATTTATTCGTGATTTCCAACTGTTTGACTGTTTGATTTTATCATGAACTACTACTCATACTGAATTTATATTATTTTTGGGTTGTCAATGTCTGTCCTTTTGTCTTTGTTTGCATTGCCTGTTTAATTGTTTGAAATAACAATAATAGAAATAAAACTCCTCATAAAAGTGCCTTTATTGAGAGAGATGTGCCTAGGATGCATTTTTTTCTGCCTTAAAAAAAAAAAGAGTAAACTGATGCAGAAATGGGCTAAACCAGGCATAGGCAAACTCGGCCCTCCACATGTTTTGGGGCTACAATTCCCATCATTCCTGACCACTGGTCCTGTTAGCTAGGGATGATGGGAGTTGTAGTCCCAAAACATCTGGAGGGCCGCACTTGCCTATGCCTGGGCTAAACTAAACTTAAGATTGGAAAAATAAGAATCTGAGAGAACCTGAAATGGAACAATTCTCCCATTCCTATTTAAAGGAATCAGCTTTGTACACTTAGCGGCAAGTCATTAGGTGTTTAATACCTGAGAGGCAAGAAGTCAAGTGGTATACATGAATCTGAGGAACCATCTCATAGAGCCTACCTGTAAAGTGATTCCATATTTGGCACTGGGCCTGTGCAAACTCCGCCTTTCTGCACTTTGGTAATGCCTGAGAGAAACTGTTGTAACCATGTGGGGAGCTGTTCACGCAAATTGATCTTCATGTGCTGGCTGTAACTTAGAATAAAATGGCCCTGAGGCAAAAACAAAAACAAAAGAGGTACTGAACAGAACTACATAGATCCAAATGGTGTGAAATTATAGCACACTGTTTTCTCTAATATTAGCTGACAATGAGGATCATTAGTCTTGACGAGAATTTCAATAACATCTTCATTAGAGTAGAAAATTATGTGCCAGAGGTCTGGTTAATTAGTGTATTGGTTCCTTTCTCTTCTATTTAAAACAGTTTATTATCAAAGTGACACCAGGAGGTATGGAATAAGAAGTAGCAGGGATAGCTGCGGGTTGAGGGGGTGGAATAAGAGGAAGACGACATTGACAAGTATAATGGTCAGAAGGAATGATGCAACAATGCATCCACATAAAGCTCTTAAGGTACCACTTGCTGCATGGACCCCTGAAGAGCTGCAAAGTACTCATTTGTAGAACTTTTGCCTAACCTCATCTTTAATGATAGGAGCCCACAGAGCACAGTATTATCTCCACATGTTTCTGTTAATTTAATAGTCTCTGCTGTGCATGGGTTCCTTGAGCATAGGTTGACTCCTTTTCTTTTTGCTTTTTAATCAGACTTTGACTGTAAAGTCTCCTGGTCCAGCTGCATATCAGCTCACTTCTGCTTAAGGCAGGGATAGGACAACTTGTGGCCCTTCAGAGATTGTGGGACTCCAACACCCATCAACCTCATCTAGCACAGCCAATCGTCAGGGATGATGGGAAGTGTAGTCCAGAAACATCTGGAAGGCCATGGGTTGTCCATCTCCGGTTTGAAGGCTGTCGTGTCCTAATCCGGACACTTTGCACAGCAGGAAACCTTGCATCCTATGCAACTGGTACAGCCAGTTTTCCAGTGCTGCATTTGCCAAGCCTTATAACCACTTTTTTTTTTAAAGGGCTTTCTTCCTCAGCAAGGTGGAAAGGGAGAGGGTGGGTCTTGTCCAAAGGACTGCTGAAGCACTATTGTAAAGGCACAGCTACTTGGGAGCCTTTAAAAGAAATTGATGACCCTAGTTTGTATGTGACACTAAGCCAGGGGTAGGCAACCTAAGGCCCGGGGGGCTGGATGCGGCCCAATCACCTTCTCAATCCGGCTCATGGACGGTCCAGGAATCAGCATGTTTTTACATGAATAGAATATGTCCTGTTTTTACATGAATAGAATGTGTCCTTCTGAGTTATTTGTGGGGCATAGGAATTCGTTCATTTTTTTAAGCCATGATTTGGAGTAGAGTGCTGTTATGGTCCAGGCTCGTGGTTTATCTTGCTCCAGACATTCCACAAGCTGTAACCAACGTTTGCTCTTACATTAAAATTCCATATTCCTTTCATATTTTTAAAGTGGAGTTTTGTCTCTTCCTTTTTGGCACCTTAAAGTATTAAGAGGTACTGAGTGGTGTGTATGTATATATGGAGATGAGGTGTGGGTATGGGTGGGGAGAGAGAGCATCACTCCAGATTTCAGCATTGGTTTGTGTTGGGAGGGGATATTCTTCAATATACATTACAAGGTAAGCCTATTTTGAATGCTTTATGTAGGATGCTGAACAGCTTTTGAGGTTCCCCGCCCACCCTAGAGCAAAGCAGCAAACTTTTTTGCTTACAACAATTTGAGTGTTTTCAACTTTAAATATAATCCTCCATAGTTCTGCTTTAAGAAGCAAGCAAACAGAGCACACAGATCTGCTTTGTTTTAGAAGGGGGGGGGAGAGAATCACCCACCGTGCTTCAGAACTCCAAAGAAAATTTTTAGACAGTCTCACTTCTTGTGGACCTTAAACTAGTAAAACATAAGAGTCAAAGAAAAACTGAGAGATATATTAGACACCGGATTGCCCCGTTAAAGGTCTATTGCTATTTTCATCTAATTCTATTGCCGGTTCTCAGAGGATGGGGTGTAGAATCACGAATTTGTCCTGGCTGTTGAAATATGATTAGTTATCTGACTAGGCAAAAAGGAGTGCTAGTTGAATTGTTATTGTGGTCTAGTTTGCAATCCTTATCTTCTTAGGATTTGGCTTATGGAAATTGTAATTTGAACAGCTCTTCATTCTGAGTGGGGAGATCATTGCTGAGCCAAGCCCAAAATGGGTAGTTGTTTGGCTTCTGTTTACTCAAAATGTCCAGTGTAATAAAGGTAAGTGGGGAACTTCCATATACTAAAATAGTCCAAGCACTTTCAAAGGATATGTCAGTATTATTATTATTATTATTATTATTATTATTATACATTTTGCCAAGTATGGCCGGGCTTGTTTAAACATTTTTATCAACTACTACAGCATATATTTAATTTAGGAAAGAAATATTATATCTCATCCATGCTTCTATGTGTTGTGCCAAGTGCCATATAATACACCTTAAAAGCCACAACAGTGCAAATTTGCTGCTGGTTCAGCAAGTGTCTATTGGTATCTATGGCTTTGTCAGAAAGTGATAAAGCAAAATGCTTATTCATCTCAGTAAAAGAATGTAAGTCCCATTTATTTCAAATGAAATTCGGAGCCATGCTGCTCCAGTTTTTGTATGAACACTGTATCACTTTCATTTAGCGGCTGCAAATCTTAAAGCTCTATAAAACTGCCTTTCGGAGAGGAAAAATATGATGTTTACTTAGTGATAAACAATTTTCCATTGAGAGAGGATGCTGGCAGGAAGATGAGTCATGTGAATATTGGAAATTAAAAAGTACTGACAGCATGTTTATTTCAGAGAAACTCCTATTTAATAAAACAACAGCTTGAAGTCCGTGGGACAGGAATGTTTCTCACCATAAGACGATCACAATTCCTGGTTTTCAGTTAGGAATGGGCAGAACAAGATCACTGTGAAATAGTAACTATCATTAGTTGTACACTCTGCACTTCTATAGTATTTCTTCACTTTAAACATTTTAATTGATCCCATCAAATTCATACTGCAGCTTAAACCTTTTTTCTTTTCTCCCTGTGTAGATGATTAAGCTGAGAGAAAGCCAATTCACTCCTATCCTTTGTATCCATTTGGTCAGAATCCTGAGAAGCTATATATCACACTTGTAGCATCCTTCTCAGGTATTTCTACAAAAGCATAACTCCATGCAGAGTTGCTAACATTGTCTGTAGTCTGCCTACTGATATCAGTTTGGTTTTCCACTACTGTGAAAAACGTGCATGTCCCTTGCTAATCACTGCAAGATTGAACTCAGTTATGCTCCATCTCAACTTTTCTTGGGGAGTCTAAAAAAATTCCTATATGAAAATATTGGGTATCAAATGGAATTGGCTCCCACAAAATGTAGTGATGGCCACCAGATCAGGTGGCTTTAAATTCACAGAGGATAAGGCTTCAGTAGCTACTAGGCATGGTTGGTTTTTCTATTTCCACTTCTGGAGGCAGTATGCTTCTGAACACCAGTTTCTTGAGGGGTGTGTTGCAGCATTCAGGTCTTGCATCTGAATTTCCAAAGAGAATCTGTTTGGGCACTGTGAGATAAGAGGCAAGGAGATGGGATGGGCCTTTGGTCAGATTCAACAGGGCTTGGCTTATGCTGTTATGATTTCTTATATGTATATTTTGATAGGAAAACATCAAGCTCTTCTATTGTAATAATTGGATTTTAAATTGCTTAATCTGGGGGCTAGAGTGTACCCACTGAGCACAACCTATTACATGGATATCTTCTGTATGAATCTTATTGATATTTTACTTAATTACTTAATTATATACTAATCTCAGGAAAGTGGGTACAGGATTGTAGCCTTAATCTTCAGGTCCCCCAAAGTTTCTTACACTTCGTAAGTTGCTTTGAGATGCTTTTGTGCAAAAAGTGACAAATAAATGTATTTAATAAAAACAACACATAAAACCAATATTAAAACTTCACTAAACTCAGATCATTAGAAGCGGAAGAGAACATCAAATGATAATTCAGCAATTTGTAATTAAAAACCATGGGGGCAAAGGAAATATATTTGCTGCTCTGTTGCAAGCAGTTGGGTAGCTAGAGCAAGATGACCATGTGAGGCACAGAATTAACATTTCTCTCCCTCCTCCCTCCACCATTCCATGATTTACAACTGATTCTACATTCCTGATATCTTAGAGCACAACAAATAAATAAAACAGGTTTGCCAGTCCTGATAAGAAAATATATACTTAAAGTGGGTGCAGTTTCACATTTAAAATCACTTAAATCATACCACTTTCATGGAATAAAATTAGGTTTGCTTTTGCTGCCATGATGCTAATAATCAAATATACCTTGGGAATAAGCACCATTATGTCATACAAGTGGATAATATATATTTTAAAAAGAGAAGGCAGGCAGGCAGGCATGAAGGAAGGCAAACCCTGTTTTCTGCTGCTCACTTCATGTGCCACACTCTGGATTTGTAAAGCCCCAGAGTTGTGGGGCCCTGCTAGGACTCTCTCAGGAAGGAAGATACAGGAGACCCACTGTTATAATACTCCTATTCTTAGTAGAGTATCTTGTATAGTGGATGAATCTGCAAGAGAGTCTCACTTCTTCATCTCAGCTCTCTCAAGTAGGATGACATGTCATATGACAGAAGATGTTTTCTCAAATATCTTGGACCCAGGCTGAGGATATGAATGAAACTTGATCAAGGGCAACAAGACGTGCTTCTGGTAATTTTCTGGTTAACAATCAAGAGAGTGTGTTATCTGTATTCTGTTTTCTTAGTATTTGTTATAGTACAAAGCACCCTTTAATAGAGCTGCTTATAATCAATGATTCTCAGCATCATTCAATTTGTCTCCAGCATTGTTGACATTATTGTCTTTACCAGCCCATGTATTACCGAAGTGTTATGTTTTATTAGCTGGACTGACTGATAATCATGAAAATTTACAGTTTGGAACTATGAGCCTGGAAATGAAGTTTAACTTACCAGTCAGCCATAAAGCAAAATCTGTTTCATATTTTATCCTTTTTTCACTTATAACCTTCTTGCTTTGGCCTACACATGTGGAAAGATGACCATTTGGAGAAAACACTTTTGTTTAAGTATCAACCTTTTTTGTAATCTATGATTGTAAATGGGCAGTCTTTTGGACTGGCAAGAAATTATCTTATTTATTGCTTACTAAAAAGGCGCTCTGTGTTGTGAATGAGCCCAGCGTATGGTTGGTTAGCATCTGATGGGCTTTTGTAAAAGTTAAAACATTTATATAATTTTCCCTTTATTGCTCTGTTTGAAAAATAAACAAAATCAGAAAACAAATCCAGAGCTTCTCAGAACTCCACAGGCAGTGTTCAAGATAGCTATATGTTGTAAAAGGCTGGTGTGGTGCTCCCAGGTTTTTAGAAAAGTGCAAGCAAGAATGCATGCTACCCAGCCACCTTTTAATTAATTTAAGGTAAAAAATAGAGCACAGACAGATTTCTGCTTCCCCACCTCAAAAATATGAAAGAGGAAAGTGGCTTCCTATTACTTGCACCACAAAAAGGTCCTGAACCTATTTGTGTGCAATTTGATAGATTTAATCCACTCTGGAAGACCTCCTGTGCCTGTAACTTTCATCCACTTTGCCCAAAAGGTGCAAAAGTTGTAGTCATTTGTACATCTACAAATTGTACAAATGTACATTCCCCATTACACTGTACATTCCCCATTAAAATGGATGGGGAACATAGGGCTTCATTTTACACAGAACTACTCAGAACCTGAAACACAGATCAAAGCAGAGAGCAACTCAGAAATGGAGTCGATTTTTTAAAACATCAACAGCTGCAAGGTGAATCTTAGGTCCAGTGTGAACACCACTAAACATTCTTTAAACACACCTATGTAATGTTATACTATATTAAGATTAAGGATTGGGATTAAAAAAGAGGGAAAGAAATTGCTGGACAAACAAAATTGAACTGGAATACAAAAGAGGGAGGTATGAGGAGGTCCAGAAAATAAGTAAATTTAAAAATGGTGATGAAAAGGTGGTATTGTTTTTAACTGTTTTCTTTTTTGTCTTTTCTTTTTTGTTTTTTGTTTTTGGATTATGTATTGTGTATTTTTGAACTGTGTATTTTTTTCTTTTCTTTTAATTTTTTTTTTACTGATGTGTTCTTTTTATTGGAAACTCTAATAAATATCATTTAAAAAAAACACACACACCTATGTAAGGCTGGACGAATTATGACATTATGGCATGTCAATCTAATACATGTTAAATGATCCTTATCTCTTTAATTTGACAACCTCCTTTCTTTCAGACACAGTGATCTCCAATAGAATCATGCCTCTTTAAAAACAACTTTTACTTGATTTCCTATAACCCCAAATGTTGGCTTCTCCCTTTTTGTTCTTCATAGTTTTGAAAAGGCTTGGCATCCCTTATTACTGACCTCAGCAAAACTAAAAATACACACTGCAACTATATACTTCATAAGCAAAAAGCTTAATATCATGGCCTAGATACATTTCGCAGCTCTAGGTCAAAGCTCCGAATGCACAGGTATTGGTGGACTGGGTAATCCATCTTGATTGTAAGACGCCCTCTTCAATCAAACAGTGGTTTACTTCTTGTTTCTTAAGTGGCTTCCTTGTACAATACACTTAGCCGTAAATGAAACAAATAGTCTCTCTTTTCTGCTCTTAACTCTCTTCCATGAAAACCTTGGGAGAAAATAACAGATAATTGCTTCAAAAAGTGATTTGAAAGTTCCAACATGGTGCATTTCACTCAATCCATCTTTTTCTCCATCTTATTGTGTTTTTAACATTTCTGTGCTATTTATAGTTCTCAGAAGGTGAAGATATGTAAATGCTAAAGCACCATTTGTTCTTGGGCACAATCAGCTGCAGAGAAACTCTGAAATATCACAAGATCTGTTCTTGTGAGATTTCCATTCTCATGCTGTCAAAACAAAAAGATAAGCAGGCAAGTCTCTTTCTTTTTCCAAAGTTGATGAATGTAACACTGTCATCAATTGCTGGTTGCCTACTTGGAAGAAGGCCTGGGACAAAAAAGAGAGGGGTGTCTGTGTGGTGGTTCTTATAGATGAATGTGCTATGTCTTCAAACTCCAGAAGAGCAAATGTCATATATATCTTTGTAAACTATTTATACCTGGGTATTTACCTAACAGGGGATGCGGGTGGTGCTGGGGGTTAAACCACAGAGCCTAGGACTTGCCGATCAGAAGGTCAGCAGTTCGAATCCCTGTGACGGGGTGAGCTCTTGTTGTTCGGTCCCAGCTCCTGCCAACCAAGCAGTTTGAAAGCATGTCAAAGTGCAAGTAAATAAATAGGTACCGCTCCGGTGGGAAGGTAAATGGCATTTCCGTGCACTGCTGTGGTTCATGCTGGCCACATGACCCGGAAGCTGTACACCGGCTCCCTCAGCCAATAAAGCGAGATGAGTGCCGCAACCCCAGAGTCGGCCATGACTGGAGCTAATGGTCAGGGGTCCCTTTACCTATTTACCTAACACAGGCCCCCTGCCACCCAAAATGTGTCTTCCAGAGATAGGATCTATGGCTTACATAATGGACTGCCTTACCCCATATATCTCTTCACAGCAAGGGTGTCCTTAAATGGGCCGCTGCTGAGACAGTCACATGCCCCAGAGGTGTGCTTTTAGCGTTGCAGCTCCAGTCCTCTGGAATCAACTACTAGCCAAAACTCGACACCCTCCCTGCGTCATGATGCTTATGCACTTGCCAAATACATTTTTGTTTAAGAGATCGTTGAAGTATATTTACAAAATATTAATTGTACATCTGATGAATAGTTTTATTGTTTATAAAGTTTATAGGAATGGTCTTAACATTTTTCAGTGCATTTTTATCATGTTGTACACTGCTTTGATGATCTTGGGCTGTTCAGCAGTTTATAAATATGTAAAATAAGTAAATGAAAAATTGATGGTCTCATATTTCAGGGGAAATAGCTAGGTGATGCTACTGTATCTTGTTGCTTGCAAAGTTATTTTGGGTAACCAGGCAGGGTTAGCTACAATACATGCATTTTCCAGCTCCTGAATTGCTACTTATTCTCACAGTGATTTCCTTCCTAATCTGCTTTGTCCTCAGTTGATCACCTGCAAGTTTGATAATTTGCTTCCTCCTAGCTCATGGTTTTTTGTGCCTTCCTCTTAGTCCTGATCACTCCCTGAATCTCCCAGGTGCTTGTTGGTCATTCCCAGCTATCCACCGAACTCATGCTACAATGTGCCCTTTGTGCCCCTTCAGTACACTCATGCAGAGGGTGTAAGACTGAAGACGAGCAGAAGAATTTTCCCTGCATTTTCCAAATCAGAAATCTTCTATGCTGTTGAAGGATGTTGAAAACCAGGACCTCCGGCATTCTGAAATGCTAGTGGTTCAACACACAGGGTCAGCTAGACATCCATGGCTTTGTCGTCTTAATGCATAGATGAGAAGATGGTGTCGGAAGGAGAGGTTTGAAATTGTTGGGCACTGTGGAACATTTTGGGACAAGCCAAGCCTGTACAAAAGGGACAGGCTCCAATTAATCCAAGATGGAACCAGACAGTTGGCACTTAAAATCAAAAAAGGGGCAGAGCAGCTTTTCTTTTTTTTCCTTTTTTCTTATAATTTTATGATTTTCAGTTTTATACATTTCAACAATTTTACAATCATTTTAATATTTCAAAACTCAATTTCCTTCCCTCTCTTTCTACAGTTCCTTAAATTTATTTTTTACATTTTCTGCATATTCCAAATTAACTTAATTTGCTCCTTTATTCATCTACTTTAAATATATACTCTTATAAAACCACAGGTTATTACAACCATCTTGCCAATGTTCTGATCTGTTTACAGTTTATTTATAAATATTCAATAAAGCAGTTCCATTCTTTTATAAAAAGTTTGTTATCTTGATTTCTTATTTTTCCTGTAAGTTTCGCCATTTCTGAATATTCCACAAGTTTTTGTATCCATTCTTCTTTCGCTGGGACTTCTTTTTTCCATTTTGGGGTGAGTAACATTCTTGCCACTGTAGTCGCATACATGAATAAATTTCTATATAGTTTGGGTAGTTCTGTCCCTATAATTCCCAAAAGGAAAGCATCCAGGTTTTTTTTTTAATAAAAGTTATTTTAAACATCTTTTTTCAATTCATTATATACCATTTCCCAGTAATCTTTAAACTTACTACAAGACCACCACATATGATAAAAATAACCTTCTTTCTCTTTACATTTCCAACACTTATTTGATTTTCATTCATACATTTTCGCCAATTATTAGATGTTAGGTACCAATAATATAACAATTCCATATTATTTTTTCTTAGACCATAACATGCTGTAAATTTTATATCCATATTCCACAATCGTTCCCATACTTCCATAGCTATATTATGACCAATATCTATTGTCCAATGTATCATTACTTGCTCATCCTTTCTCTCCCGTTCCAATAATATCGTATACATTTTAGACAGCACTTTTACATTCCATTCCAACAGATCTCTCTCCAGTTGTGATATTTGTTCCCCACCTTTTGGCTAAGATCAAGTGTTGAGGGCAGAGCAGCTTTCCAACTGATTGTGGTGAGGAGTCGAGGGACACAGTAAGAACAGAAAGTGGGACTAGATAGTCCACTGGCCTGATACAACGGAACGATTCTTAAGTTTGTATATTCCTGCCGTAGGAAGTAATGGATAACAGTAGGCTTGCCAATTGCCCTTTTTGTTATAATTCCTAGTGACCCCAAACTCATAAAAGAATAAATGCATCTTTTTTTCAAGAACCAGCCATTTGAAAGCATTTAAATAAATCAATAAAGGTGAAGCTTGAATGATGGAGCAATGCTGAAATTCTTAACAGCTTCTCTATGCCTTTTGTTCATTTTATTGGATGGCTCATCTACATATATGTTCAGTTATGCGCATGTATTTTCAATCTCAATTCAAACAAATGAGGACCGACTGCATGCACGCACACAGATGTACACTCAAGAGTATAAAGAGAACTCTGAATTGAGGCATGGATGCTGAATTGAATAAAAATTCAAATCCTCTGCATGCAATTTAGGACTAGTTTGTGTAAGAAAGTCTTGTCCGGTGTTGATGGAAATGGTTCTAAATGCTCCTGCCAATGGAATAATCACTGCAATAGTGCAATTAACTGCCTACAGATGCATCATATGTGTTTTCAGGCATGTGTAAATGGGCATTTTGTATCACTTGGTTTGAGTCCTACTCAAATGAATTTGCTATTAAAAAAGTCAATATTTATAAATACTTCATACACAGACAAATCCAAAGCCCAGTTAAACTGAAGCATTTATATCCAATACAATATAAATCTTTCCGCTCAGTAGGATATAGCTTGCAAGCCATATCCTATTGGTCAACAAACAACGGGTCGAATTACTATGGATTATACCCTTAATGTGATTGAAGGCACCTACTGTGGTTTCACTAGGCTGGAAACTGGGGGATCCAGGTAAGCTGCACAGCAGGCAGTAGAAAGAAAAGCCACATAGCAAGAAATATAATCCACAATGAGGTCTTCAAAAAGCAGATTGCAGAAACACAAGGCAATGGTATTTGGACAGAATTGCCAGGGGAAATGGAGTGTATATTCAGAGGATCAGAATAACTATATAGAACTTTCAGAGCATAAGATAGACTTCACTTAAAGATGAATGTTGAACATGCTGTATCAGTAATATGCTTTCAGCTGCATGAATCAGTCCTGAGTAAAATAGGCCAGAGACTGGGCGCAGAAAAAGATGATTCCATAGTTTAACTATGCACTGTGTCACAAAGTCATTTCTTTTTTCTCTCCTGAATCATCCAACATTCAGTTTCATCGGATATTCAGGAATTCTAGTGTTACGAGGGCAGCAAAGCTTTTTTGTCTCCACTGTCTCCACACCATGCATGGCTTTTTTTATACACCTCCATCATGCTGCCTCTTACATGCTTTTCTCTAAAATAAAAAGCCCCAATTTTTGCAGCATTTTCTCATTGGGGGGTTGCTCCACCCCTTGATCATTTAAGTTGTCTTTTTCTAGCTCTGGAATAACCCTTTTGAGGTGAGGCAACCGGAACTGCACACAGTATTCCAGGTGTAGTCACACCATAGAATTGTATAATGACATTATTATTTATTTTTATTTAATAAATATTATGATATTGGAAGTTTTCTTTTCCTTTCCTTTCCTCAGGATCCCTTGCATAGCATTTGTCATTTTCATAGCTGCCACATACAGGTCAATATCTTCCTCAAGGTATCCACTATGACCCCAAATGACACCAGTTTTGTGTTTTGTTTTAACATGTCCTTAACTATTATGGTTAAAGAGTACATTTCGCTTAAACTCAGGCCTGCTGTACACATGGAACAGACAATTCCTGCAGTGGTAGAGAGGATTGTACCGCTTTTGTCTGTAGGTGGGGGAATGCCAATTTTGAATGCTTTCCATGTAAAACAAAAACTCAGAAGGAACATAACCCTAGCACATTGGAGATACACATTCTAGTTTACTATTTAGATTAGTTCTAGATAAGTATTAGAATTTTTAAATTTGAACTACAGTTCTGTTTGCAGAGAGCTTTTTCCACACAGAGGAACAACATTCAAGCAGGGCTAGTTCAAGGCATTTTGCTGCGTCTCCCCATTCCTGGTACCAGATTGGCAGATATGAATCTTCCTTCAACACTTTCAACAGGGCAGTGTTGTCCATTACACCTGAAAACAGCAAGCTAACTTAAGGCAGACCTCATGGTGTATGCACAGCTCTGTGCTCCGAAAACCTCCCTGCTGCCCCCTACCTCTCAACATCTGTCGCCTAAGGCAGCTGCTTCACTCTCCCTAAGGTACAGCTGGCCCTGCATTTGAATGCATTGTTAAACACCACTCTCAATCTTTGCTGAGTGGTAACAAGTTTCCAGAGGGTTCCGGGCGCTCCCTGGGGTGTGTGTTTCCATTGGAAAACCAAGGCACAGTAGAGTCTGCAGTGTCTTAAAAATATGGCTTATTAACACATATTTACACCAAGAAGCCTTCAGTGGAGGGGGGTGCAGAACCTTACATCCCAAGAGTGTCTCTCATTGCTCCCCTCATAGCTTCAGCAAGCTTGGATCCATAGCAGCAGCCAGTCATGGCCCTTGGTCTCTGGGTGCAGCCAGCATCGCATGGAGTTCTGCCTACTTCCTCCTTCTTGTTCCCTTGCCCAACACCTCCATGTAAAAGGACAACTTTTGTTGTGTGTGACATCATGCCCATGTTGCCCTGGCAACCTCCCCCATGGTTACTGATAGGGTCATTGTCATGTAGATGTCTTTTGCAATAATAATAATAATAATAATAATAATAATAATAATAAATTTTATTTATATCCCGCCCTCCCCAGCTGAAGCCGGGCTCAGGGCGGCTAACAACAATAAAACAGTACAAAAGTACAGCATAAACAACACTCTAAAATCATTCATTATAAAATTAATTAATTCAAGCCACTGGCAACCATTGGGCCAGAGCTCCGCGAAGATTGCCGAGGGAGGGAGTCAGGCTGTGCCCTGGCCAAAGGCCTGGTGGAACAGCTCTGTCTTGCAGGCCCTGCGGAAAGATGTCGAGTCCCGCAGGGCCCTGGTCTCTTGTGACAGAGTGTTCCACCAGATCGGAGCCACAGCCGAAAAAGCCCTGGCTCTAGTTGAGGCCAGCCTAACTTCTCTGTGGCCTGGGACCTTCAAGATGTTTTTATTTGAAGACCGTAAGTTTCTCTGTGGGGCATACCAGGAGAGGTGGTCCCATAGGTATGAGGGTCCTAGGCCGTATAGGGCTTTAAAGGTTAAAACCAGCACCTTAAACCTGATCCTGTACTCCACCGGGAGCCAGTGCAGCTGGTATAGCACCGGGTGAATGTGATCTCGCAGCGAAGACCTCGTAAGGAGTCTCGCTGCAGCATTCTGCACCCGCTGGAGTTTCTGGGTCAGTCTCAAGGGCAGCCCCACGTAGAGCGAGTTACAATAATCCAGTCTGGAGGTGACCGTCACGTGGATCACAGTGGCTAGGTCAGGGCGAGAGAGGTAAGGAGCCAACTGCTTAGCTTGGCGGAGATGGAAAAATGCCGCCTTTGTTATAGCTGCAATCTGCGCCTCCATGGAAAGGGAGGTGTCGAATATTACACCCAAATTCTTAACGGACGGTGCTGGCACTAATTGCGCCCCCGCAAGAGATGGGAGTTGCCACCCCAATCCCATATCGCCCCGTCCCAGCCAGAGGACCTCTGTCTTCGAAGGATTTAGCTTCAACCGGCTCCCACGTAACCATCCAGCCACAGCTTCCAAACATCTGGTCAGTGTGTCTGGGGCTGAGTCAGGATAGATGTCATGTAGATGTCTTTTGCAATGGACTAAGGGTAGAACCATCACCTCCCTCTGTCCTTCTGTCTGGCAGAAAAACAAGCTCAGCCTTTCAGCTCTGATTAAACCCTAGCACCCAAGAATCTAGAGGGGAAAATATGGTACCCAGGGATCTAGGGGATCCCTGTTCCCCCAGTAACCCATAACAGTATGACTACTGCTTTGTCAAAAATGGTACCATCCATTCTTCCTCCTCAGAAGCAGCATCACCTCATTCTACTGTGTGCCGCTCAGGCTTCATTCTGCAGTTTTCACCTTGCTGATGCTTGAAAAAGTTAGAAAACCAAACTCACTATAGGATTCGAGAGATTGCCCCCATGGGAAATAACCACATGCAAAGTCTGAGAGAGGAATGACCTGAGAAAGCCTGGGCAAAGGTTTTGAATTGATAGCGAGTCATGTGTCCCCGCCTTCCCCCCTACAGGCAAATAGTGCTGCGAGTCTTTACAGCACATCCCTTGGCAGCTGGTGTAGTGCTGGCAACAATTTTGCACTCTGCATGGCACCTAATTGAAAATCAGAAACAGATCAAAATTAAATCAAAGTTGCTCTTATGGTTTGTTGAGGGTGGTGTGAATAGACCGAACAGGCAGACAGGCAGAAAGAGATAAACAGCAGCTGGAGACAGCATGTGTGGTATGAAGCAGATGTGCAGCCAAGTAGATGATGAACCAGGAATGAAAGCAGCTAAGGAAATCTGATGTCCAAGATCGTGTCAGGAGCCAAAAACAATGGGGATTTGCTTGAGGATTTGCAATTCTGATAGAAGCACAGCCCAAGTGGGAGCAAGGGTAACGGAAGGACCATAGTTCATTGGTAGGGTATCTGCTTTGCATGCAGAAGGTCCTATGCTCAATCCCCTGTTAGAGCTGGGACAGATGCATGTCTGAAATTATGGAGAGCCGCTGCCAGTTTGTGCAGACAATACTGAGCTAGATAGCAAGTGGCATAAGGCAGCTTCCCTTTGATGCTGGAGAGTGTCTTGATGTTTTTGGCCACAGATGCATGAAGTTGTCAAGAAATGTCAGCAACGGGATCCTCATGCAGGCACAGCACAGTCTAGAATTTCACTTCTGGAGGTCTCTTAAAGGAGACAATTCCAATCTCTCAATTTGAAATTTTGCTTTTTCTTCACTTGTCTTCTTATCAATCCTTTCCACAGGAGTTTATTGGAGCAATTTGAAATGAAATCAATGCAAGTCTGAAAGCTCAATCAATGGATATTTTCTGACTTCCAGCCTTCTAAGATGTAAGAAGACAACATTGTTCAGTTTTCCTTGAAAAAGAAAAAGGTGTTTAGTTAGTAGATAAATGAGCCCTGCACTAAATCATGCAGACATACCCAGATACCTATAAAAAGAAATAGAAATGCACCAAATTATAGTTAATCCAAAAATAATATGAAAATGGTTGCTGTGCTGACTGGGGCTAATGGGAGTTGTAGTCCAAAAAGTCTGGAAGTAACCCTGCAGACGACCACAGTGTCTGGAGACTATAGCAGTGACCAGAGAAATGACTGTTGGGAGGAGCACAGAAAGAAGTGCCATGGTGCATCTGCAGCAGCATAGCAAGATGCCTTCATCTGCCCTAGATGCAACAAAACATATCTTTCCTGCTTTGGTCTCTATAGCCAAAGCAGGTGCTGCAACTTTCCAACAGCTTGACCTCACCACCAAAGGTGCTCTCCTCCACTGTCTCCTGAGACAGATGGATGCCAGAACCAAGTGGAGGACAGCTGCTTTGCAAGCCATGACACCGAGGCTGAAAACCTGAACACACTTTCTGGTAAGTCCAGCTGAGCATATTCCGAGTAGACATGTATAAGACTTCACGCTGAGAATTACACACTTTCCTACGAGTGAATCCCATTGAGCTCAGTAGAACTTCCTCTAACTTCTTGCCTGAGAATTTATTGCATGGGGTTTTTAAGCTCTTAGTTTTGTGGTTTTGTTATCTTTTGGATTGTTTCTAGGTCATGTTCTACTGGCACAGGATATAACACTGTCTTCTTTTAATGTTTCCTGATGGTGAACGGAGTTGATTGAGGTGACATCAGACAAAATCTAAAAAGAAAAGAAAAATCAATCAAATGAATAAATCCAGAGTATTGCTTTGCATTTATTATGAAATTGCTCCCATATACTGTTTTCTCAGGCCCTGTATGAGTTTCCAAAGCTTACATCAAACAAAAAAGTTTCAGGGAAGAGGTAATGGATATTAATCTTCTCAAAATTCTTTTTTCTGAAAAGGTTCTGAGAAATGTGGGTGAGAACTGTGAGTAACACAGGGAATACTGTTATGAGATAAGATCGTGCTAAGGGAATGCCTGGTGTGTATAAATACCATATTATATTATATAACATAATGTGCTCTTGTTGTGTTACTACCCTCTCTTGCTTCCCTATAAAGCATTGGCTTTCAAACTCTGTTCCTAAGAACCCTTCAGAAACATATCAGTTCAGAAGCATTCAGAAGCATAATGAACTGAGAAATAATGCCACAAAAGGTTTCCTCAAAAGCCCTTTTCAATACATGGTGTTTTGTGACACTTCAGCAAACCCTGGGATGTGTACCTAGCAGATCAAAGTAACAGCACAAAAGCCATTACTTTCGGTTAAAGGCAGAGGAAGACTCTGGGATCACACATGCTTCCTCCTATTTCTGTTTCTACATCCACCTCCATGTGAAGGCAAGCAGCTGTCTGAACAAAAGCTTTGAGGTGTTGTATACACATTAGTTCTGTCCATACGACTGCATATTCATGCCTTTGTAGCAAGGTTACCATCAGCACACGTTATCTTTTGACAGTTGCCCATACATCAGCAGGACCACTTATGCATGCCTTGCATCTGTCTTTAAATAATTGGAGGGGGGCAGATCTGGAAGCTGTCATTTTAATTTCACTTACTGCCTTTAACTTAGTGTCATGCTGGAGCATTGTAGGAAGTTCAAAGGGCCTCGTCATTAAAGGGCTGATGATGATATTTAAGCAGGTACACCAGAAGGCCCCTTTAAACTTGCTTTGGGGGGTTGCTGATTGGGTGGTATCTAGAGAAGAGCAGCTGGAATATTGGCTTCCAACTTCACAAGTCCAAGATGGCATGTCCAATTGTCAGGGATAATGGGAGTTGTAGGCCAGCAATATCTGGAGGGCACCATGTTGGCTACTGCTGATCTAGAGATTAATCGTTTCTGGTTGTGGCAGAGAAGTGATACTGGAGAACATGATTGCACAGGGTTTTGATTTGTTTTTGTTTTAAAAAACCGACACGTGGTAATGGCCACTGGTTAGATGATTAAAAGGTGATTAGACAAATTCATAGAGCTAATAGAAGCCATCGTAACAAAATAACATTTCCCATTTTATAAGTGAATACCAGATACTGGGGCAAACATTGAAAGGGCTATTTGCCATGGAGTCTTGTTTGTGGTGCTTCCAGAGGAATCCCTGGGTAGCTACTGTTCAATATAGGATACTGAACTAGATGGTCCATTATATTCATCTAACAAGATACATTTGATGTTCTTTTTGATATAAATTAATCCGTGACCAAAGGCTACTTATTCTGGCCCATTTCAATGAGAAAGCTGAGGAAGAACATCACACAAAACAGAGGCTGGCGGAGGGACTGCGCCATGACAACAGTTTTGGAATGAATTTCCTGAAACACTTGTTGTGTCTTAAAAGCAACATCGGCTCCAGCAGAGATAATTGAGTTGAAATTTATGGGCGGGTATTTCAGGCACAGAATGCCAGAGAATAGAGCACCCAAAGTAATTCAAGGATCTGATTTAATTACTTTCGTTTCCTC